GTAAAGAGATCTCTGAATAAAGAGAGCCGGCGATTCCCCTTCCACTTCCTTCTCTCCAGGCACGAGTACATGCATGACGTTCCCGTGCCTGAGAGGCACTACACTCGTGTACCTGCTAGCGGACACTCCGTTGTCCGGGCAGCTTTACCTTGAATCGTCGGCCGAGTTTCTCCGAAACCGAGTCGTATTTATTCTGAGTGTCAGTCTAGCAACCTTAAGATAGTTGATATTGGTGTCAGAAGTGGTTGAACCAAGCTCCGCTCGTTTCAACCGGACAATCTCAGCGCGGATTCTGCTGTCTCATCGGGGCCACGTGCCAAGGCAAGTTTTTCCGGCCGGTTGCTTCGCACCGCCGGAGTGAAATCAACGTTCCTGCAGACGATCGGCATCCATCCACCGCCCCGCATCATCGGTTCCGGCTGGAAGGAGCTTTCGAAGAGGAAATCGGAATTTCGCAAGTCAGCACGTTGTTACCGTCCAGATAAGTGGCAGAGATCCGCGAGCAGTTTCATCGAAACCCAAAGCCTGGAGCACCGCCCAGAGCTCGTCTTCCTTGATAGGAAGAATTTCTAGGAAGTGAAAACGCGTTTTGTCGAAAACCGGTCACTGACTAGCTTCGATCGTTCGGCCTGGAGTGAGTTTCACCGAAACTCAGAGTCTGGAGCACCGCCCAGAGCTCAGCTTCCGAACTGGGAAGAGTTTTCAGGAGAAATAGGACGAGCTTTCACGAGAAACAGTCTTTCCCTAGACGTCGGTCGGGTTAGGCTTAAGGACTCGGGCTCAAGATCGAGAATCCTACCGCAGACCGGACAAATAAGGATCAGCAAAGGAACGAGATCAATCTCCTCACGCTATTGTAGCGCATCCCAGCGTTCCGAACAAATTATTTCGACTTTCAACCATCCCCGCTCATCCGTCGGCGAACACGTGGAGCATTGAACTTCATCATGGAGCACGGAGAGCCGAGGCAAGCTGCGCCTGCAGCAGGAAAGTATTCACACAAAGCTAAGGTCTCGAGAAATGAGCTGACGAAAGCTCGACAGCACTGACGAAGTCGATTCGTAAGTGCCACCAGCTAATCGAGGCTAGGGTAAATACCCGCGAATTCTACAACAAAGCAAATCGTTTACATGCTTCTCTCCTGGAGACGGCTGAAAAATGCAATCGTGCATTCGACGAGTACAAATCGCATCCGGAACACGCCGAAGACGCAGACAAGTTCGACGAAGCGTTCAACAAGCAGGCGGAGTACGAAGACTCAACAGAGGAAGCGAAGGAAGCCCTGACAGAAACGCTCGAGTCGCTGGCAGAGTCGCTGCAAATATTGAGCACTCAACAGGCCACGTCTCAATACGGTTCGGCGCAGGAGCAAGATGAGGTTCTGGCCAATAACCTACAAAGCATTCATTTACAGTCGGGCAGTACCCCGTTGCCAGGAGCAGAACAGTTGGGCGAGTCAGCGCAGGGAGAGACGGCAGGATTTCAACAGGAATCGGATGCCCAGGAGTCGGCGGAGCACGCAGTGTGCGCAAAGACATGCTGCGGAGCCAACGACCTGATGAACAAGGTGCCGAAGTTCAACGGGGAGGCGACCAAGTTCAGCGAGTGGTGGCACGTTTTCCATCGCTACGTCGACGCGCAGGACGTCGACGCCATGGAGAAATGCAGGATCTTTAAACAATCGCTGACAGGCAAGGCCGCCAAGCACGTATGCTATATAGACATCAGCGCAGAGTGCTACCAGTTGATGAGAGATATGATCCAGAAACGTTTCGGTAACAAAGCCATGGCGCAAGATGCGCACATGCATAGAATTATTAACCTCTGTAAAGCCAGGGATTTGATGCGGGACGACAGATTCATTGAATTCGTCATGTCCGTTTCGCAGAGCGTGCACGCCCTAGTGGCTAGCGGTAAGAGCTTTGCGTCGCTCTCTCTTGTATTGGCTCCGGTAATTGTGACATGTCTGCCCGAGAGGTTCCGTATCAGGTTCAACACTTTGTGGCGAGCCAAGGAGCCTGACGGAGAGGACAAACTGGAGGTTCTGATCTCCTTCCTCGAGGATCAGGCATCAGTCATGGAAGAAAGCTTGCAGCAGAAAAGAATGGCGGAACCCGGTAGGACCGGTCCCGCGAAGCATAATCAGGGAAAACATCCCAGAAATTTCAGGAAGGATGCCAGCGGCCCGCAGCAGCATCAATATGCGCAGAAGAGTCAATTTTCATTCGCGGCCCAGGTGTCAGCGCCGGCCTGCATTTTCTGTGGAAAAGGGCATCCTCCCACTAGGTGCGTCGAATCGATGTCGCCGGTAGACAGACGTAAGGTACTGGCAGAGCACAACTCATGCCTCAGGTGTTTCCGTAAGAATCTTGTGAATAGGAAATGTCTAGCTAAGCAGAGCAATTGTGCGAAGTGCGGAGCCCGTCACCACGTCCTGGTATGTACTAAGCAACGATCCGAGGCTTCTTCGAACCTGGGATCCAGCGACGTTATAAATCTGTGCCAGCCCACATCGCAGTTAGAGGGCTCGGAAACTCTGTTACAGACGGCCCATGTGTGGGTGATTAACGGGAAGAATCGGCGCATGTGTAGAGCCATCCTGGACCCCGGATCGCAGAGATCGTTCGTCTCGGAAAAAGTTGTTTCAGCGCTCGGCATCGAGCCCACATCAAAAGAAACGGTTCAGATCCACGGCGTGGCAGGAAGGAAGTCGGACGATCAAGATCTATGCACTTCGAAACTGGTAGTTAAAAGCCGTTTCTCGAGGCATCAAATTAACATTGGTTGCCTCACAGTTCCCAGGGTGGTACGCGGTCTTCTTCCCAGGGCGGCGAGTCCCAGGAATTTAGCACCCATGGCGGATAGCCCTCAGATTGGCTTCCCGGAAGAGATAGAGCTGCTCATCGGGGCGGATGCCCTGCATCTGGTTTACAACGGCATGTACCGCAAAGTAGGGGAGTACACGGCATCTCCAACCATTTTCGGCTGGGTCCTGTGGGGTGGAGATGGCGGTAGGAAAATTGTTAACTCAGTTGTCACGTCGTTGGGAGAGATCCAGCACGCGGAGTACGGCAACGAACTAGCGACGGTGCCGGTAACGAAGCCGAAGACTCAGTTTGAAAATTTGAATTTTCTGTGGGACACCGAGTTCCTAGGTATCGAGAGTTCGAGCCAGGACGAGGATAAGAGCTCCTTGGAGCAGATGGAGAAATTTTTCAAAAGCTCCATCAGAATGACTCCGGAAGGCAGGTTCGTAGTCTCGTTGCCGTTCAGGGAAAATTTAGAGACGCTAGGAGATAACAGAAACTTGGCTTACTCCAGGCTTCAGGGACTGCTCAAGTCTCTGAGAAAAAATCCAAAGCAGTTGAAAGCAGTGGATCAGGAGGTCGCCAGGCTGATTTCGTCACGGTTCGTCGAACCGGCGAAACCCCGGTTACCGGGACAGAAGGCGTACTACCTGCCATTGGTGGCGGTAGCCAAGAAGTCTCTAGCTTCGGATGAGGTGAAGGTTCGCGTGGTCAAGGACGGCGCCGCTCGTTCGCGAGACGAAGCATCATTGAACGATGTGTTGGAGAAGGGACCGAACTATCTACCCGATCTGGTAGCGGTGCTGCTCCAATTCCGCAGAAAGCCTATTGCAATCGTAGCGGACATAAAGGCAGCGTTCAATCAGTTTCTAATTAACGAAAATCATCGCACCTTTCTAAGGTTCTTCTGGCCCGCAGGCGTGGCGACGAATCCGGACGCTCCGATCAGAGAATTTTGGGCTACGGTCCTAGACTTTGGTTCTGTGTGTAGCCCGTGGCTACATTGCGCAGGAGTGCGCCACCACCTGGATCTCCAGATAGAGAAGCGGCCAGCGCAGGCCCAGTTGCTCCGGGAGGTAAAATCTACCTTCTATGTGGACGACATAGCAACCGGAGGAAGCGATGTTAAAGACGCTAAGCAGGTGGTATCCACGCTGATAGATGTATTCCGCGAGGGGCATTTCCCGCTCGGTAAGTGGAAAACGAACAATTGTCAATTGGCGGAATATATCAAGGAGGTTTCGAGGGAAGAGAATCCCGAGGTGTCAAGCCAGGACGTCGGCGCCAAATTTTTGGGCGTATCCTGGAATCAGCAGAATGACACGCTGTTCACCGACACAAAAGAAATTCCGAAATGGATGCTGGCGAGAACCCCCTCCAAGAGGAATCTGCTAAAGGGGCTCAGCCAGATCTACGATCCACTGGGGTTGTTGGCGTGTTTAGCCATCAACTTCAAAGTGCTCACTCAGGTACTGTGGACAAAAAAATTGGATTGGGACACACCCTTGGACGGGGAGTTGTCTGTTTACCGCGCGTCGGTACATAATCTGGAGTACGCGCATCTCATTAGGATTTCTAGGCCAATGTTCGCGTTCGGGAGCGGCACGGCGGCAAGGGAGCTACACGTGTTCGCTGACGCCTCGCTGAAGTCCTACGGTGCGGTCGTGTATATGCGCGAGATTCCGACGGGAAAGGTCGGCGGCGCGGCTCCGGTAAGCTTTATCATGGCTAAATCCAGGGTCTGCCCTCTTAAGGGAAAATGGACGATCCACCGGCTGGAGCTCATGGCGGCGGTCGTAGCAGCACGTCTGGCAAAGCGTGTGTCAGAAGCGGTCGCGGAAGCAATTGATCGCATATTCTTGTATTCCGACAAATCAGCCGTGCTGGGATGGCTGCGACAATCCTCGGATAGGTGGAAGCCCTTTGTGGCTAACAGGATCCGTGAGATTCAGGCGATATCGAGGGTAGAGGATTGGAGCTACGTAGGATCAGAAGACAATCCGGCAGACCTGCTCAGCAGGGGATCACCACTCAACACGGCGGATCTACGACAATTCTGGTTACAGGGGCCGGAGTGGTTGGCTCAGCAAAGAGCCCCGGAATCCCACGGTCTGAATCCAGAAGATGGGGCACAGGCGATGCTGCAGGAGAAAAAGGCCGAAATACTATCGGCAGCTGCGGTGGTGGAAACCCCATTGGAGCAAGTTTTTCATCGGCGCCTCTCGTCGTGGGGTAAAGCGGTCAGGGTGATCGCCTACATCCGGCGGTGGGGAGCGCGCTGCAATAAATCGGTGTCTTTCCCCAGTCGCGAAGTGGCGCCGGAGGAATACGTGGAAGCTGAGACGGTCGTTCTCAAATTGATACAACGGTCAAGTTTTGGGGCGGAAATGGCTGACATTTCCCACATTCCCAAGTCGAGCCTGATCGCCAAGGCGAATCCGTTTGTGGACGAGGCAGGGTTTCTCAGAAGCAGAACCCGACTGGTGAGATCGACGAATTACAATTATGAGACAGCATGTCCAATTGTGCTTCCGGGAGACGACCACCTCGTGCAGCTGTTGGTGCGGAAAGTCCATGAGGAAAATTGTTTACATTCAGGGGGCACAGCAGCGATGTTGCACCACTTAAGAGAGAAGTTTCTGGTTACAGGCGCGCGCCGGGCGGCGAATAAAGCTTCCCACGGCTGTAAAGTCTGTGTTCGCTTTAAGGCGAAGGCGGCGTCGCTTCCGGTTCCCCCTTGCCCAGCTTCAGAATCGAGGAGTGCCCTCCGTTCTCGGTAGTCGGGGTGGATCACGCTGGCCCGATTTTTTTCAAAGCACAGGACGGGAGGCGAACAAAATCATATATACTGCTATTCGTATGTCCGATAACGCGCGCTCTGAGAGTGGAGCTGGTAGCCGATCTGACCACTTACGAGTTCTTGCTCGCTCTGCGCAGGTTCATCAGCAGAAACCCAGCGGTTACGCGCATAATTTCGGACAACGCGAGGACGTTCACCCGGGCGGAAAAAGAGCTAGAAGCAATTTTCGACAACGCCAACCATCCCAGAACCCAGGCTTTTCTGGCCAGAAAACGGATTGTGTGGTCGCACATCACAGAGAAGAGTCCGTGGCACGGAGCCTTTTGGGAGAGATTGGTTCAGGTGGTCCTCAGAGAGACGAGCAGCACACAAGAAGACACGGACACGTTGGTGGAAACTCCCAGTACGGGGGACCACTAACTTGCTCCCAACGCTGCGCTGAAAACGTGAGGCTGTCGAAGCAGACTCCTCACTTCAGCCCTTGTGAATTCTCAGTGAACCTCCCTTGTAGTACGACGGCCGGTCCCCAGCCAGTCTCTGCAACGCCCGACAATGACAATACCGATACGAACTGCAGGATTGGCCTGTGGAACTGTGAGGGGCTGAGGAGAAGCCTAACCATACTAACAGCAGCCGACTTGAAAAGCTATGACATTTTCGTCTTCACCGAGACTTGGGAAATCCACCCAGTCGAGGTCCTCGATTTCCATGTCGCGCAATCCCTTGCCAAGAAGTGTGAGGGACCAGGACGTCCGAGTGGAGCGTGGCTGTAGTGTACAACAACAAGCTTAAGGATGCGATTTGCGAAATCGCAGAGGAGGACACCGTCGTCATCGATTCTAAAAACTGTTTGATAATTGCTATGTATATAAGACCGTCAGACTCGTTAGAGACATTCGAAGAGAAACTTGCTCATGTTGCCTGTTGGATCCGTCCTCACACTCCGATAGTGTTCTGCGGCGACCTGAACGCACCGCTCGATAAACCGAATGCTAAGCGCACCATCATCTTAAAACGAATGCTGGAATCATGGGGTTTATCGCTGATAACCGAACCCTCCACATTCACGTACGTCGCACATCAGGGTCGATCAACTATCGACGTCTTCGCTACCAATATCCCAGCTCTTTACGAAAGCTTACAGACTTCTCTACGAATATTCGGCACAACTGCGCATTTACCCGTTGCGATGTCCATCAAGATTGAGGAATCGAAAGTGCCCCCAGAAGAAGAAGCGTCCGAATACGAGGCTGAATCAACGAATTTTACTGT